GACAGACTGTCTCCTTCTGCTCAGTCATTCTTTCCAACATGTGGTAGGTGCTGTTCCATCGTGTCAGCACTTCATTTATTAATTTATGGAATGATGTTCCCAGCTGTTGCTGCATTTGAGTGAGCTTTTCTTTGGCCATCATGCTTGATAGAAATTATGTCACAATTTGCAGTGTTTTGTTGTGTATTTCTGTTAGTGTTGTGATTTGATCACATGATTTTTTTACAATTAAATTCATGGAATGGGCAATACAAATGGTTTGCCGTATTTGCAGCATTTGAAATCATGTTTGCTGCTGCATCAGTGACAAGACACCTGATGTTGTCCGCTATGCCCCACTCCTCCATGAGGCTCCTTTTAACTGTGGCCATGTTTTCTGCAGTGTGTTTCTGAGGAAAATGCTCCACTCCCAAGACTGATGAACGGAGTTCATGGCTTTCTTTGTCCACATAGTGGCAAATAACAACAAGATATGCCTCCATATTAATGGACGTCCACTTATCAGCTGTTAAACAGGAACGGCGCTCTGCAGGTCCTTTTTTTGTTTTCTTCTTTTCCTCATATTTCTGGCTCATCAAGTCTTTGATGGTCTAAAAATAAACATACAAATAGTGTAATACCTTATGAATACATACAGTATTAATTCAAACATACCTTCCTGCTTGGTACAACATATGAGGGTTGCAATAAGCTTCATAAGCTCTCTGAATCCCTCATTTTCAGCCATGGTGAGTGGCTGACAGTCTTTGATGATCATGTTGACAACACCCTCATCCACTGGTTACTTGTTAGGAACTGCAAGCCAAAAGGAAATAGTTTGTTTAAAGCTTGTTGAAGGACTGTAATTTTTACAAACAATATTACAGAGTCACACAAAGCCTTTTGTGTGTAATAAACTATTTTTGAAATTTCTTTTTATTTATTTTTTTTGTGAGAATTTCAGTATACCTGAGGCACTCACGGGAGGATCTGCCAATTCTTCATTGCCATGAGCTCCATAATGCCTCAGCATTGATGAAGTGCTCTTATTGACGTAAGATAACTCTGTGGAGCAGAGCAACACTTCACCTACAATAAAATAAAAAAAAGTAAATATATCTGAAAACAATTCTTACCTCTTACCAGAAAAGAACAGAAACATATTTAATTAAAAAAAAATAATAATAAAAATAAAAATAAAAAACTAACAGTAAACAATGCCCAAAGAAGAAAAAGATTTACACCTTATTTTTTAAATAATTAAAAGATCAAAATGATTCCAGACTGGGGAAAACGTCTTGAAACAATCCATGAAGTCAGACGTGGAAACAAAGCAAAAATCCAACAAACACAACAACAGCAAACACAGTTTGGTCTCCATCTAACAAACCTTATAAACACAATTTGACATGGCACATCCAAACGACACACGTCCTGTATCGGTCACATGATTTTTTTTCTTAAAGTGATACATGCACCAATACAGGGTTTCACTCTTGAGCACACGACACAGTGCTGACGCACCAGTGTTGTTCATCCCATCACTAGCACATGGGCCCATGTTGTACATTTTACTGGATGGGGAAATATTATCTTCATCACATTAATGAATTTATCTTATTAAAAGTTACCAGCCAAGTGTTAAAACAGACTCGACTTTTGATTCAGTGTAAACATTTACCTGATGCAAACACTGTATGTGTTGCTTCAGATGTTTTCATGGTGAAGTCATTAGTGGGTGAACAGACGTACTCTCCACTCTCTCAGACTTCTCACATGATAATTATGTATTTGTGACGTAGGTTGACCGTGAGCGGATTGGGGTTCAGTGAGTACGGTAAAAAAAAATCCAGACATAGATGTGAAGCAGTGGTCCACAGTTTTTGTTTTCAATCATTACAAAAAGTGCAGAGTGCAAAATGGAGGCAGGCAGGAGTTTCCTCTCCAGCAGCAGAACACAGACTTATGTTTTGAGGCGCCTTTTATCCTGGTCTGCCTGATTGGCTAAAACTACTACAGCTAAAACAGGGATGGTAAAATTATCATAGCTTTAAATCTTGATCTAAACCTCCATAAAATATATCCAAATCCAAATAACTATTAAAACCACCAACTATATACATAAAAACCGTAAAACCTCTGGAAGGGCCAGAGCAGGCTCTATCTCCTGAGGAGACTCAGGTCTTTTGGAGTGTGTGTGTACTGTGCCTCGGGATTAAAAAGTGGTAAAAGGAAGGACAATAAATGTTTAAAACCAACTGTGTGCAATTTTTTTTGTATGTTGAAAGTGCTGTGTGCAATCAAAGTGCAGTGTTTAAAGTGTCTTAGTGAAGGGTGAAGGTGCTTAATGTACTCATGGGTAACAAACCACCAGCCTGTTTGTTACAGTATTCAAACAAACTAGCTACAGTTGTTCCAGTCTTAATCCAGATGTAGTTGGCTGCAGGTAAAGATTCTCCCAAGCAGCTCAACGTGAGAGTTGTTTCTACTTGAACCTCTTTTGGACTTGAGATTTGAAGATTTTCTGGTTAATCTGGAACACAAAAACAGGAAGTGCAATAATCAGAACAGAAGTATCTAATGTAAATGAA